TAATGACCTAATAACTAGCATTAACTTTATATGCCCCCATGGCTGCCTGTTTATCTCTACACTTTTTCCCATACCTTTTTATTGCCTCACAAATTTCCTTCTTTCAAGGAATGCTCTTTCCAGCTACTGACATAGCTTGCTTTCTTACTTCCTTCATGTCTTGGCCCAAATGTCATATTCTTAATAAATCCTTATCTGATTACACGATTTAAAATTGTATCCTCTTCTCTCTCTGAACTAACTTTATGCACCCCTGCTTCATTTTTCTCCATGGGACTTATCACTCTCTGACATCCTGACTAATTCACTTCTTTGTTGCATTTATTGTCCTTCCTCCACTAGACTGTAAGTTCCATAAGGAGCATTTCTGTATTCCCAGAAGTTAGAACAGTGCTTGATTGCTCAAATGGTTGTAACCAGAATGCTGATGGTGATATGGAAAGTGAAGGCGTGGCTGAAGAGGTCTCAGATGGAAATGAGGAACTTAGAAGTAGAGCAAAGGTCACCCTCATTATGCCCTAGCAAAGAACTTGGCTGCCTTTTGTTCATGCTCTAGGGATCTGTGGAAGTTTGAACTTCACAGTGACAACCTAGGGTATCTGGCAGAGGAAATTTCTAAGCAGTAAAGTGTTCAAGAAGTGGCAGGGCTGCATCTAACAGCCTAACTCAGATGTCAGAAGACAGAAATGACTTAAAGTTAGAAGTTATATTTAAAGGGGAAGCAGAGTGTAAAAGTTTAGAAAATTTGCAGCTTGGCCATGTGACAGAGAAAGAAGAAGCATTTTCTGTAGAGTAATTCAAGCAGGCTGTGGAACAACCACTTGCTAGAGAAATTTGAATAACTAAAAGAGAGGCAGGTACTAATAGCTAAAACAATGGGAAAAAGGCCTTGAAAGCATTTCAGAGATCTAAGGGGCAGCCTTGCCATCAGGCCCAGAGACCTAGGAGGGATGGTTTTGTGGGCCAGGCCTAGGGCCCGACTGCTCTTCACAGCCTCTTTGGGACAGTGCTCTCTGTATCCAGTCTGTTCCAGCTCCAGCTGTGGCTCAAGAGGCTCCAGGTACAGCTCAGACTGCATGCTTTGGTGGCTTCCATGTGGTGTTAAGCCTGCAGGCATAAGAGTGAAGGAGGCTTGACAGCCTCTACCTAGACTTCAGAGGATGTATGGGAAAGCCAGGATGGCCAGGCAAAAGCCTGCTGCAGGGGTAGAACCCTCACAGAGAACGTCTACTGGCAGTTTGGAGGGGAAATGTGGGGTTAGAGGCCCTACACAGCCTCCACTGGGGACCTGCCTGGTGGAGCTATGAGAAGGGGGTCACCACCCTCCAGACCTGAGAATGGCAGAGCCACTGGCAGCTTGCACCTGTGCCTGGAAAAGCCACAGGCACTCAACTCCAGCCCTTAAGAGTAGCTGTGGGGGCTGTACTATGCAAACTACAGGGGTGGAGATTCCCAAGGCATCGGGAGCCCACTCCTTCCACCAGTGGGCCCTGGATATGGAACATGGAGTCAAAGGAGATTACTTTGGAGCTTTGCAATTTAATAACTGCCCTGCTGAGTTTTGAATTTGCATGAGGCTTGTAGCCCTTTCTTTTAGCCAATTTCTACCTTTTAGAATGGGCATGTTTACCCAATGCCTATAGCCCCATTGTAATTTGGAAGTAAATAGCTTGTTTTTGATTTTTATAGGCTCATAGGTGGAAGAGACTTGCCTTGTCTCAGGTGAGACTTTGAATTTTGGGCTTCTGAGTTAACATTAGAATGAGTTAAGACTTTGGGGAATTCTTGGGAAGGCATGATTGTATTTTGCAATGTGAGAAGAACATGAGATTTCGGAGGGCCAGGGGTAAAATGATATTGTCTGGATATTTATCCACATCCAAATCTCATGTTGAAATGTAATCTCCAATGTTCGAGGTGGAACTTGGTGGGAGGTGTTTGAGTCATGGGGGCAGATCCCTCATGGCTTGGAGCTGTCCCCACCATAGTAAGTGAGTTCTTGAGAAATCTGGTTGTTTAAGGGTGTGGCACCCCCTCTTCCCCTCTCTCTTGCTCCTGTCTTTGCCATGTGACATATCTGCTCCCACTTCACTTTCCAACATGAGGAAAAGCTCCCTGAGGCCTCCCTAGAAGCTGAGCAGATGCCTAGTGCCACACTTCCTATACAGCCTGTGAAACCATGAGTCAATTAAACCTCTTTTCTTAATAAATTACACAGTCTCAGGTATTTCTTTACAGTAATGCAAGAATGGCCTAATACACTCTGCCTCTAAAAAAATTAAAAATTAAGGCCGGGCGCGGTGGCTCAAGCCTGTAATCCCAGCACTTTGGGAGGCCGTGGCAGGTGGATCACGAGGTCAAGAGATCGAGACCATCCTGG